CTTATCCACAAAAAATTATAAATGTAATTTTTTAAATAAAAATGTTTACTTTTTAAATTTATAAATAAATTTAATTTTAATTTAAATAAAAATTTTTATTCGGGTATAGACAAATGCAGTTACGTACTTGATTATCTACATAGCAGCATAGTGTAAAGCCCTGGGTTTAACCCCAAAAAAGGGTCAGATGATTTACTTTTTTCCAGGGGGGTTTCCTTTTTTATATTTAAAAAACTTTATTTTTTACACTTTTATTTTTAACATTCCCTTGGAGGGGATGTTTTTAAAAATTAGTTTGATGGAGGAGTTGCGGGGCCAGGGGTTTGAGTGGGGGGAAAATACGTACAGGGCCGTCGCATGTTCACCCGGCCCGATGCCCATACAGAAAACATTGGGGATTTACTTTCTTACACATATATAAATACAGGGGAAAACCTAAAAAACGAATTGCTCTCAACACGACCAATTTTTAAGTGTTTTTTTTGTAAGTGCTTTTATAAGGGGATTTTTGAGGGTCTAAAAGGGACAAAAATCTAATTTACATTTTTCCTGTGGGAATAAATTCATTGGGTAAAGGCCCCGGAAAAGCCTTCGGGACCGAGAAAGTTCGATATTTGGGGTTTCCCAAAAGTGTGTGTATATATATAATAAATTATATTTATATATATATATATATAATATATTTTAATATATAAAATATATATATAAAAATTATATATATATTTAAAATTATATATGCCCGTGCCAAAAATTTTGTAAAACTGGTCGGGTTTAGCAAGAATCTTTTAAAAATTTAAGTCCTTTCAAAAAATTTACCTTATAGTTTAAAAGGGATATTTTTTTTTGCATTAAGTTAAGAAAATTTTTTTTAAAATTTTGCACCAAAAAAATTTTTTTAAAAAAAACCCCCCCCAAACCTAATTTATAAACAAAAGCAATTTATTTTAGCCTAACCCAACAAAATTTTTAAAAATAGGTTTACAAAATTTTTGGGTACAAAACAAAACACAATCAAATTATTTTTTCTTTAAAGGTTTTTCAAAATTTGATTTTGGCGAAATTATTGCTCCCAAAATTTTTTCATTGTTTTATAGGGAAAGTGACTTTTGCTTTTTAAACCCCTTTCAGGGCCAAAGGGCCAAAATTTTGAACCCACGCCCCAGTGTCCAAAAAAATTTTAAAAAAAAAAAAATTTTTTTTTCTTACAGAATTAAAGACCCTTTTTTTGTGAAGGAAAATAAAAAAAAAAAAAAAAATTAAAATCTGCCCGTACTTACCGAGAAAACATTCCCAAGGGACGGGGTTTGAAAGAAAATTTTGTGGGGGCGGCAAAATCGACGAATTCCCATACGCGTTTTAATTTTAAATTTTGTTTTTTTAAGTTTTTTTTTTCCTTTTTTTTTTCCCAAATTTTTTTTTCTTTTCCCTACTAACTTTTTGGGGCCTGGAGACCAATAAACTTTTAAAATTTTTTTAAAATAAACTCCTGTTTTGAACACAAAAACCCCGCACTAAAGTTTTTTAATCATATTATTTTTTTCCACTGTTGTTTATTACAATAAAAAATGAAACAAAATTGAATAAAAAAAAATGTTCTATCATATATTTACATATTTAAAATAAATTGGACAGGGTTTTTAGAACTGCTGGAGCTTGGGGAAAACCCCTTGAAACAAGGCACCATGCACAGAGGCCCCTTTTCCCTTCCTCAACAAAAACCCGAGTGTCTTTGGTCTTTGTTGCCGGTGTTTTGTTTGTTCACAGAAAAATGCATTCCCTTTTGAGCAAATTTCTTTTGAGTTGAAGGAAGCTGTATTATGAAAAGATCCCTTTTTCTTCTCAAACGCTTTTGGGATTTGTGATGAATTCGAGGACCAAGGTTTTTTTGCAGGGGGTTTTTACCTGGTACTTTATTAAAGAGTTGTCTGACAACAGAAAACAAAAAATTTACCATAAAAGGTGGCCCGGGTTTCCTTCCCTTTTTTTTTGGTACATATTATACAATTTAGCTTTGAAATGTCCAAGGGTGGGGAAAAAAAGTTTCAAGTTTCCATTGTAACTCTTACGAACACAGTCAAAAAAACCAATTTCATGTACATTTTTCAACCAAGGCTTTTTTTGTGTATAATTTAATCACTGTCACTGGTTTTCGGGTTTGTTCATTGTCCCGATCAAATTTGCCCCTGTCTTGGGATTTCATTTTCGGTAAGGGTTTTTCAACAAGGGGACATCTTTTTTGTCATGCCCCCCGGGAAAGCCCTTTGTCATTGGAGAAAAAACCTGACGTCAAACACCCCCAACACCTGCGTTAAACCCGGGAAAATTTTTACGTTTTGAAAGCACTGTGCCCCCCACACATCTGCTTGGGTTTCCCCGCATGAAAAACACTGAGTAAAAGGGTTGTTTACCCGTTATCGGTATATAATGTATGGGGCCCCCTTAAACCAAAATTTAAAGGTTTCCATCAAGTTTCTCACTACGTCACCCGATATACCCCAAAAACATCCCTTTGGGATCCCTTTTAATGTTTTACTACCCGTGTAAACAAAAAATATCCAACACCAGGCCACTGTCACAATCCCCCAAATTTCAAAAAATTTTTTAAACAAACGGTTCCCCCTTGTCGGGGATATTTCTGCTTGAATGACAGTTTTACCTTTTTTAAACAAAATCAAAAACTCGTCAATTACAAGATTCTTGAATGGATAAAAGTTCATCCCGAACTTTTTTTTGGGGATACTTAAAACATTTCTAAACTTTTATAACCCGTCATTCTGTTTAGGCCGGTTTTGTCAAGAAGTGCAACATCCTAAGGTAAATAAACCTGTTCACTGGTATTATTTCATGAAGGAAGGGGGACCAAAAAAGCCAAACCCGTGGCCCCGTATGTTTTTAAAATTTTGCTTATAGACGGAGGCATAAGCATTTTTGTTGCAAAAAACAAATTTCATTTCTGCAACAGTGTTCTTTCCACCTGTGTAGTCTTACTGTTTTTGTTAAAAATGTAAAATTTCCCTGGTTTTTACTGAAAATTAAATTATTATTTTCCCTGACAATAGTTTCCATCAATGGCTGGTCAAAGAATAATTCAAAAGGAAAATTCCCGTTTTCATTGGGGGGTGGTTTTCCAAAGGGGCCCGGTAGGTAGAATTTCCCCCTTTTTCATCATCAAAATGGGGAGGGGGTGGGGAAAAAAATTGGGGGATTTTGCTGCCAATCCCCGATTTCGGTTTTCTGGTGGATACTGGGCATCATAGGCTTTGGGTTTTACGGAGGGGTTTTGGGGGGGGGGTGGTGGGTGACGCTCCCTTTGGGCCTTAACTGAAGGTTCCCCGCAGGGGGGGGTTTCCCGGCCCCGGCCCCCAGGAGTCACGCAAAGGCGGTGCCACTACCACCCCAAAACCCCCTAACACCATCCACGATGTCTGGGCCCTCCCTGCCAAGTGTGCCCCATATCCTCCTAATTTTTTACTACCCTTTAAAAAGGGTTTTAGGGCCACGGATGTATTTCCCGGGGTGTATACGGGGTTTACTCCCTCCCCCGGGGGATAGCATAGGGGACACTACCCGGGGCGCAAGCGGGGCGCCCATTTCCCACGCTTTCACTGGTGAATTTTGTTTTCCCCAAATATAAATACTCGAAAAAACGTCGAGCGCAATAAAAAAAAAAAATCCCCGTAGAATCATCGAATTCTGAAAAACAGAGGCCGGCCCGGGAAAAAATTAGTTTCTCTTTCGTTTAGGAACCCAAACCCACCGTGAGTCACGAGTTTTCCCCCACCCGAGGTTAAGGTCGAGGAAAAGCGGGGTTTTCTGGGACTATTATCGAAATCCTGGTCCCTTATTTTCGGTCACTAATCATCCAAAACCGTAGAAATTTGTCTTCATTTTTTCCCCTTCCATCAGTGTCAGAACTATCAGACAAAGGAAAAGGGGGAGTCCCAATTTTCCGGGGGGTGAGAGCTGACTTCCCACGAGCAAAGGTGAACAAGGGGAAACCCGAGCCGGGGTTCCACAAAGCTAGCAAAGGGGCCTGATTTTTTGTTTACGGCCACACCCCCCCGCAGACCCATTCTCTCATATGTAGGGCCCATGAGCGCTTTCCCCGCTAAATTTGACGGGGCTTTGAATTTGGCGTTTGATCTACGGTTTTTTCCAAATTCCCCCGACCAGCCCAAAATCTATGGGGCGGGCCCCCGAAAGGGGTTTTAAACCAAGATCGCAAGTTCTGGGCCCATTCGGCACACATATTTAAATTTTTTTTTTTATTATTTTCACACTGGCCGATTCCCACCCGTTCGAGTTTCGACTGCTTAATTGGTTCCCCCCAGCTGTGATTGAACCCATTTTTTTACATAAACTGGACAAAAATTCCTGAAAATGATGACAAAAAAACCCTAAAAAAATGGGTTTAAAAATTTTGCTTAAAATATAAAAAACAAATAAAAAACAGTCATATTTTTTAAAAAATTAAAAATGTCCAAATGTAATCACATTCACGTGTGTAAACGCTCCGAACGTAGATCAAATTTTTTTTAAAAAAGAAAGCATGTAAAATAGAAAGTTGGAGCACTACGCACTGGGAAAGGGGAGATCACTTTTTGGGCAAAATTAAAAAAAATTTTGAATATGTGACATGCAGAGTGAAGTTTTGAGCAGACGTAAGAAACAAAAGAATTGAAATTTTTCTCTTTGAAAAGGGGCATAAAGGCAAATTTGGGGCGTTTGGCCAAAATTTACCCTAAAAAGGGGTTTTACGATACACAGAGGTGCCCTAAATAGCCTTTTGTAGACTGTTTTTCCTTAAAGATTTGACAATATGAGGAAAAGTTTTGTATGAATGATGGTTTCCCCTTGCCTACTGCCAAAAAATAAAGAATTTGGCCAAAAATTTTTTGTGATTTTTCCATCCTTTTTTAAAAATTTGCATGGAAAAATAACTGGACCTAAATCTGATAGAGAATGTGATATGTGAGCAGTGATATGTTTAATATTTACAGATGAGTAATTTGGCCAAGGTCAGCCAGAGCAACAATGATGACAGTGATTCTGATGAAGATGATGATAAACCAGTTGTTTCTTCAGTAACACTCAGACATAATGGTTGTGTCAACAGGATAAGGGTAAGTGTGCACCTCTTAACATGTTAATAATAGTAATACAGTGGAACCCCGAGTTTCAGCCGCCCTGAGTATCGGCCGCTTCGAGTTTCGACTGCTTTTTTCGGCTAAATTTTGTCCCGAGTTTCGGCCTGTGCCCCATATTTCGGCTGGCGCACCAGACCTGTCTGCCTGCCTGCACCTGCGCGGCAGGTGCTGTGACCCAGTCTAGCTGTGTTTTTCCTTGAGTGAACATTACCCTGTGTGCTCATCCAAACATTTCACAATAAATTCATTGTGTTTAGTGCTTGTTTATTGATTGTGACTGTGAAATAAGCCACCATGAAGAATTTGCTTCAGAGGAGGAGGAAGAGGGAGTGAAGGAAGTGCCTTTTTCAGTGATTAAGGACATGTGTGGAATGTGGAATAAGTTGCAAAGTTTTGTGGAAAAATACCACCCTGAGCAAGCTGAAACACTCCATCTCTGCAACATGTTCGGTGACAAAACAATGTCCCATTTTAGGGAACTTAAAGAGATGCCAGAAACAGAGCACTCTTGAAAGTTATTTTGTGTGACAGGGGTCCAGTGACTCTCAAGCTGGTCCTAGTGGCATTAAAAGACAAAGAAGAGAAGTAACCCCAGATAAGGACTTGTTACCTAAAGTCTTTATGGAAGGGGATTTCCCTTCCAAACAATAAGTGCTCCCACTCTCCTCCTTTCTATCTTCCAGATGCCTGCAAGACTCTTCAATAAAGTACGTAAATGTGATTTTAAATGATTATTTAAATGTTTATTTATGTATTATATTACTCATTTAAGTACTATATGTATGTTTTAAGTACTATATGTATCTTAAACTATAGTTAATCTTTAAAAAATGTATTTTTTGTGAATATTTTTGTGGGTCTGGATAAAGTTAATTGTATTTACATTATTTCTTATGGGAAATATTGCTTCGACTTCAGGCTGTTTCGAGTTTAGGCCTAGGTCCTGGAATGGATTACGGCTGAAACTTGGAGTTCCACTGTAATTAGCAATTTTGAATTTTATAATTTCTGAAAGCCTGTTCTTATAAGAAATTCACAGTACAACAAGTACGATAAAAATGAATAATGAAATTTATAATTGAGAGTGACAGTGTGATCGATCATCAGGCTCATAATCATCAGGCTCATTGTGAAAGTGAGGGTAGTGTGTTCACTGTCTGTGCTCTACCAATATCTAACTTGAGGTTTTGAGGCATATGTGGAGTCAAAGAAATTTATCAGTGGAGGCAACAAGGGTAATGTGCCTGAGTATAGTGATACCAGTACTGTTGTATAGGTGTGAATCATGGGTTTTAAACACTGCAGTGAAAAGGAAGCTGGAGGCAGTGGAGATGTCATGTATGGTGTGAAAAATATGTGGGGGTTACCTAGAGTATTAAGAGGGCTGAGGAAGGGTTAAGTGGTTTGGACATTCAGAAATAGGAAAAAACAGGATAACTAGAAGGAATATAAATCTGGGGTGGAGGGAAGGAAGGATAGGTGTTGTTCTTGGTAAGGTTGGAGAGGGGGCAAAAGCATTTTTGAGTACTGGGGACTTGGACATCCAACAGACTCTTGTGAGTGTGTTTGATAGGAGTGTGTGGAGGCAAGTGGTTCTTAGGATTTGATGTGCTGTTGGAGTATCAGCAAGGTAACATGAAGGGATTCAGGAAAATGGTTAGCTGGCCTTCAATCCTGAAGAAGAGATGGGGAAGTTACAATTTGGAGAGGCATCTGAACTGTGGTATCAGCACACTTCTGGCAAGACAGTGATTGAATGAATGACAGTGAGTGTTTTTTTTTTTCTCTGTTTTTTTTTTTTTTTGGGGGGGGGGGGAGTAGTCAACCTGTCTCCCAGTTTAAAACATAATGTAATAATAATATGAGATGTATTAATCCTAGTTAATGTTCTTAGGCCACATGCGTTAACAACATTCATCTTGCTGCGACTTGGTCTGAGCTGGGTCAGGTCAACATCTTTGATGTGAGTCACATGCTGAATGTTGTCAACAACAAAAGTAGCCAAGAGACCTTCCAAGAGGACATTGCAGGTGACCCATTGTTTACTTTTAACGGACATCGCATGGAAGGCTTCGCTCTGGACTGGTGTCCAACTATGCCTGGTATGTCTTGCTTTTATACACAAGTATCCCAAATTAAGGAAATACATAATACAAAATTTCTATATGTAAGAAAAAGTTTTGAATTTTAATTTTGAATTACTCATGTTACTGTGTTAATGCCTTCACAAAATTTATATTTTTTGATCATTTCATAGTAGAATTTCAAAATTTCAGGTAGGGAAAATTGTGCTGCATTGGAATCTGCTTACTCAAGTGTATAATTTCTATTAATTCAAAGTTTTGTGTAATTCAGACATCAGACACGTCCAAATATTCCCAAGGCAATAAATGTTACTGTACACTGTAATGTATTTGCAGCTGTGGAGCTCTTTATTTTTATTGTGCTGAAAGCACAATTCATAAAGGAGTTTTCCAAAAACATTGGGCACCTCTTTTAAAAATATGTTATAATACACTTTAACCCTTTGACTGTCGCAAGCCCCTTTCTGAAACTGTCATTCTATGTTGCAAAATTTTTTGAAAAAAAAAAAAAAAAAAAAAAAATCTTATGAAATGATAGAGAATCTTTTCCCAATGGTAATGACACCAAAAGTACAAAATTTGGTCGAAAACTCATGGAATTATGCTCCCGCGAAGTTAGCAGTCTCAGCGACATATACGCATCGGCGATTTCGCTGACTTTTAGCCCTGTTTTTGGCCAATTCCGTTGTTCCTGTTGACCAAACTCTGCTATTTCTTTAGAACTCCAATTTTCTATCAGTTGAGTACAAGAAACCACCCATTTACCGATTTGAACTACCCAATCAAGTGGTCAAAAATTGGCCAATTTCATGTAAATTAAAAAAGATGCCAATTTCAAAATAGGGTCCAGAATAAACAATGTAGACATTCTTGGCACTAAAATAACATATCCTTTGTTCATTAGTCATGTCTCTAGGCCTCTCTTATATTACTATTGCTTTCTATTTTGATTTTTTATTCATACAAAAAATACAAAATTTACTGTTATGCAGACTACTGCATTATTGTAAAAATGGTATAAATAATATCAGTGCACTAGTGAAAGAATATTAGACTTCCCAGTTGACGTGTATTGGATGTGTGGTGTAATTTGCTTACTCCTGAACATTGGTAAAAATCAAATATTTCCACTACTTTGAGCTCAATTTCAAGGTCGTTTTCATCATGAAACTAATCAAAATCATTTCTGTTTCTGTAATATGTTTTCCATTTTATCACGTGACACCATGAAAACGAGAATACAACAATAAATACTATACGAAAATACACCTCAAAGTCGGCGTTTTAATCCAAAGTGGTTAATTTTTTTTTCTTATTACGCACTGCGTGGTGCAGGATTTTTTTTATGTGGTGCACACATACCACATAGATGTATTCTCTCATATCTAGGCCCAAATTTACCGCTCACATCTTATCAGAGTGAGCTGAGTTCATGGCATAGATCTACGGTTTGGACCCTCAACGTAAAGCCATAGATCTACGGCACAGACCCTGAAAGAGTTAATAACTCCAAACCTCCAAATTTCCACACTACAAATTCTCTGCATAATGTTTATGCCACACATTGCCCTCAGACATGACATCTCCACTGCCTCCAGCCTCCTCCTCGCTGCATCATTCATAACCCATTGTTCACACCCATGTAAGAGTGTTGGTACCACTATATTCTCATACATTCCCTTCTTTGCCTCCAAAATCAAAATCAAAATCTTTATTTCCTTGTAAAGCTTACAATGTGTGGTTTACATGTTATAAAATATTAATTACAAGGAAGGCCACTAGCATGCCTAGGCATTTCGGGCAGACTAATACTAATTCTTATTCTATATTGATATAGGTTATGGAGCAGTACATTTGAACATACATTATTAGATACATAATTAGATACATACCTAATTAGGTACATACACAATTAGATTTAAAATAGTACAAATCATATAATAATATTACAAATGGTAGATTTAGTGATGGGATTGGATTTGTCTTGACATGACACACTGTTAATATTAAAGCTCATATACATGTACTGGAAGAGTATCTTAGACAAACTTAGGACTAACTTAAGATTTAATAGGCAATAGCTATATTAGGAATTTTATGTTTACATTAGAGGTTTAGTCAGAGACGGGGAATGTCATAAAGATTTTTGTGTCTGATATTGTGTGTATGGGTCCTGTTGCAACTATCAAGAAAATGTTTTAGTTCAGGGTTAATATTAGAATTTATGGTTCTGTAAATGTAAGTTGCACAATAGTAGGTGTGAATGTTCTGTATGGTGCGTAGGTTTAGGTCTTTGAAGAGTAGGGGTGTGTGTTGTCTTGCATTGGATTGCGTGATAATTCTTACTGCGACTTTCTGTTGGGTTATTATTGGCTTATGGTGAGTTGCTGCTGTTAATCCCCAGGCACAAATAGCATAGGTGAGGTAGGGATAGATGAGTGAATAGTATAGTGAGTAGGGCAGATTGTGGTACATAGTAACATATCTTGGAGAGGATCCCAACTGTTTTGGATACTTTTTTTGTTATTTGTTGGATATGAATGTTGAATTTCAGGTTGCTGTCAAGGTGCAGGCCCAGGAATTTGCCCTCATTATGTTTAGCAATAAGAGTGTTGTCAATCGTTATGTTCAGTTGGGCAACACCTTTTCTGTTCCCAAACAGAATGCAGAAAGTTTTGTCAATATTAAGTGTAGGTTTATTAGCAGTCATCCAGGTTGATATTTTTATTAGTTCTTCGTTAACAATAGTGTTGAGTGAGGCAAGATTAGGGTGGGAGATCACATAAGTCATATTGTCAGCAAACAGTATAGTTTTAAGGTGTTGTGATACATTAGGAAGATCATTAACCCCTTGACTGTCGCAACCCCCAATCCTGAGGTGTCTCCTGGTGTCGCAAAATTTAAAAAAAAAAATTATTTTTTCTTATGAAATGATAGAGAATCTTTTCCCGATTGTAATGACACCAAAAAAAAAAACGAAATTTGATGGAAAACTGGTGGAATTATGCTTTCGCGAAGTTAGCGACCTCGGCGCTGTATACAAATCGGCGATTTCGCCCACTTTGATCCCTATTTTTGGCTAATTCCGTTGTTCCAGTCGCCCAAACTCATAGCTATTTCTTTAGAACTCCATTTTTTCTATCGATTGAGTACAAGAAACTGCCCATTTACCGATTTCAACTACCTAATAATGTGGTCAGAAATTTGCAATTTGGCCAATTTCACGAAAACTAAAAAATATGACAATTTCAAAATAAGGTCCAGAATGAACAATGCAGACATTCCTGGCTCTAAAATAACATTTTCTTTGTTCCTCAGTCATGTCTCCAGGCCCCTCTGATATTACTCTTGCTTTCTATTTTGAATTTTTATTCAAACAAAAAATAGAAGACTTACTTTTATGCAGACTACTGCAATACTGTAATAATTGTATAAATAACATCAACCCATTCATGACTGCATATTAGAATGGCTAGTTGGACATTTATTGGACAATGGCATCATTTGTTTACTTTTGAACATTGGCAAAAATCAAACATTTCCCCTACTTTGAGCTGGATCCATTTCTAGGTTCTTTTTATAGTAAAATCAATCAAAATCACCTCTATTTCCATAATATGTTTTCCATTCTATCAAATGAGACCAAGAAAACGAGAATACAACCATAAATACTATACGAAAGTAGACCACAAAGTCGGCATTTAATTAAAAAAATGGTCAGAGTTTTTTTTCTCATTATGCACTGCGTGCTCCAGGATTTTTTTTATATGGTGCACACTGACCACACAGACCCATTCTCTCACATGTGGGCCTACCAGCTTTCTGCTTGATTTGAAGCCGCTAGAATTTATGAGTATATATACGTCAAACACGGTACCTCGTAAGACGTATATATACGGCCGCGACAGTCAAAGGGTTAATGTATAAGATGAAGAGCAGGGGCCAAGGACACTTCCCTGTGGTACTCCAGTATCCAGTGGTCTTATTGATGAGGTTGTGTCCTTAATAGAGACGTATTGCTGCCTGTTAGTAAGGTAGGATTTGAAATATGTAAGTGCGTGGCCTCTTATGTCATAATGATCAAGTTTGTGGAGTAGGATGCTGTGGGCTGTTGTATCAAAAGCTTTCCTTAGGTCGATAGAGAGTTCTAATGGATATTCATTTTTTTCAAGTACTGTGTAAAGCAGGTCTAGCATTTTTACAATTGCGTTGTTTGTGCTTTTGCTTTTCCTGAAGCCAGATTGGCAGGGCTTGAGGATGCTTTGCACTGTTATAAAGGAATATATTCTCTTGTGCATAAGTTTCTCGAAAATTTTGGATAGCAACAGTAGGTTTGATATTGGCCTGTAATTGTTTACATCTGTGGGGTCTCCACCTTTGTCTATTGATGTGACCCTTGCTATCTTGAGTAGTGCTGGGAAAGTGCTGGTTTCCAGTGATTTGTTAAAGAGTAATGAAAAAGCAGGTGAGAGAACATGAGCCACTCGTTTGTACAATAATGGAGGAACTTGAGCCAGATTTCCTGGTTTATTTCTAAGTGACTTAATAATTGTAGTGACTTCTGTGGGCTCGGTTGGTGCAAGATAGGAGGAGGTTGGGAAATTCCCATCTAAGTAATCACTTGCTCGAGCATTGGTACCTGGGATTTTGTTGGCGATATTTGATCCTACGGTTGAGAAAAAGTCATTTATCTTGTTAACTGTATCAATAGGCTGTAGTTTTCTTCAGTTTTTGGGTGCCTAGAATTTGAGAGAGTGTCTTCCAGGTATTTTTTTATATCTCCTTTTGTTTCGGTGAATATTGGAGTAGTAAAATTGCTTGGCCTTTCTTATTAGGTTGGTGAGAACTGATGTGTATTGTTTAATAATATCTCTGTTTATTAAGCCCTGTCTATATTGTTTTTCATATTGATGTTTCTTATCAGTGGATCTTAGTATGGATAACTTCCTACTTAGTATGGATAGCTTCCTACGTGACTTGTCTTGCTGAACAAGTTCTGCCACCTTCCTTCTCCCATTTCCTAAAACCCAAACCCACTGGGCACCCCCTTTCCCTGTCATCCCCCGCCCTATTAACAGCTCATTCTTTCTACTAGTCACAGGTTAAAGATGCCTTTTTTTACTTTCCGTCAGGTCAACGTGCTCTCTTTGCAGCTCTCCAAAAGATCTTTTAAACCCTTTCTCTCTACCATTCCCTTTTGACACTGCTGCCTGAATACACAATTATTTTCAAAATTTACAAAATAAATTAAAGTTTCACTCGCTGCTTGGTCAAAATTTTCCCCCTCACTGACTGTGTTACTAATTGCTTCTGTCTCTCTCTCGTATGAGTTTAAAACTTTTTGGGGTTTTGGCCTTTCCTTTGCCATTCGCCTTTCCTGTGCGGTATTCCCCCTGATTAGCTCTTGTTCCTTTCTCAATCTCGCTCCCGTAATCTTCCTGCTTGTCCATTTTTCGTGGCGCTCCCCTTCTGCTTTGTTGTCTGTTTTCTAAAAATCCCCCTCCTTCCGCGCCATTCCCAACCCTGCCTTTTTCTCTTAATCAACACAAAATTGTCTACTATCTTCTGACAAAGGTAATTTGGTGTTACCTTGATTGCGAGGATTACCCCCGTAAAGCGATGTCTTGCTCTTGACTCACTATCCCCCTCTCTTTCCCCCAAACCTCTTGAGCATCAAGAGCTTTAAAAAGAAAAAAAAGGGCTCTCCCCGACTCTGTCCCCCTGCTTTGCCTTGTTCAACGGTTTGGCCCCTCTGTCCCTCTTTTCCCCTATTTCTGGGGTTTCCCCAAAACTCATAAACTAATTCCTTTCTTCCTGTCATATCCTCTGGGTTCTGTTTTTTCCCGCTTCGGGTTTGGCCAAACCCCTCACCCCTTTCTTGGTACTTTTTCTCCTGCCCACCTCCGTCACTCTCAAGACTTCATTGAACGGGTTCGCTCTCTCCCAGCCTGTAAGATGCTTAGTCTTGACGTTGAGTCCCTCTTCACCAATGTCCCTCTTGATGATGTCCTTGATTTCCTTAGAGATAAGGCCCTTGAAGGGTTTCTACATCTCCCTATACCTGTTGAAGTCTTTCTTGATCTTATCCGCCTCTGTGTGGACTCTAATTCCTTTTCCTTCCAAGGGAAATATTATTCTCAAACCTTCGGTGTCGCTATGGGCTCTCCTCTCTCTCCTGTCCTTGCTAATACTTTGAGACTGTTCTTCCTACCATTGATGTGCAACCTTCTCTCTGGCTCTGCTAAGTGGATGACATCTTTGCTCTGGGGCCTCATGACTCCAATCTCTTCCAATCTTTTCTTGAAGCTCTTAATAATCTTGCCCCTTCCATTAAGTTTAAAGCTGAATGGGGATCTAATTCCTTGCTTCCTTTCCTTGATGTCCATGTCCACCGCTCATATACAGGTTTTTCCTTTTCCGTTTACTGAAAACCTATGCACAGTGGTATGTACATTCACTACTTTTTCTGTCATGCTTTCCCTGTCAAGAAAAGCGTTCTTATCTCCCTCTTTCTCCATGTCCTCCGCATCTGTAATCCTCAGTTCCTTCCAGCAGAAATTTCCACTCTTCATTATTTGTTTTCCCGTCTTGGCTACCCTTCCCATTTCATAGACTCTGCCTTCTCACGTGCTAAACGTAATTTCTTCTCTCCCAAACTCTCTACTCCTGGGAACTCTTCTGTCCTCTGCCTTCCCTACATTTCCGGTCTTTCTAATCTCAACAATTCTCTCCGTCCCTTAGACATCAAGCTCACTTTCCGCCAGACTAACACTCTTCGCACTAATCTTGTTCATACCTCTCCTCCCTCTACAGATGTTCCTGGTGTCTACTCTATTTCTTGCTCCTCCTGTCCTCTTCAATACCTTGGAGAAACTGGCTGATCTCTTTCTGACAGACTTAGGGAGCACAAAAGTAGTGTTAGGCTTGCAGACACTAACAATGCTCTGTTCTGTCACGTCAGAGATCACAGCTATCCTATTGACTGGTCTTCCACTAAAACTGTCTTCCCTACTTCCAACTCTAACAGTCGCCGTCTAGTTGAATCCTCTCTAATACACAACTTTCCTTGTATGAATCTTAGTCCTGGCTTCGTCTCTGTAGATGCCTTCCTTTCCCACTACATTGTAAAATGCTCCAAACTTCAGAACACCCGTGACTTAACCTGATTCCTTATTTTTTCTTCTTCTCGCTTTTCCCCTTTCCTCTTTCCTTTTTTGTCTTTCTTCTGTTGCGTGTTTCTGTTCCTTCATTATTTATTTCATCACTTCCCCTTCTCCCCACCTCTGTGCACTTGCTCTCCCTCTGTGGGCACCTAGCTCCCTGCAGTGCTCCCCTTTTTTTATTTACTGGCTCTCCCTTAATTCCCCACTACTACCACTACCACTACTACTACACTCTGCTACCTACTACTTACTACTACTACTGCTACCACTACTACTACCACTACTACACCACTACTACACCTATACTACCTACCACACTACTACACTACTATACCACTACTACTACCACTACTCTACCACTACTACTACCACTACTCACCACTACTACTACCACTACTACTACCACTACTACTACCACTACTACTCCACTACTAATACTCTACTACTACTACTACTACTACTACACTACTACTACTACACTACTACTACTACTACTACTACTACTACTACTACTACTACTACTACTACTACTACTACTACTACTACTACCACCACCACCAACTACCTCTTCCTGCCTATATATAGCCGTCCTGCTCCACTTCTGGTTAGTGTGACTTTGTAAATGGTCCTAGTCGGACCGAAACGTTGTCGTAAGCTCCTCTCTTCTATGTGCGGTTATTTGTGTAGTGTACTGTATATTGAAATAACAGAATTGAGGAAATCAGCTCTAATATACATTATTTAGGTATGAATACTGGTCAGAGAGCCTGTTGTAAGTCTGTGGCATCGGTAAACGAGTATGTCGCTAAGTGAGGAAAGGCTGTATTACATGCTTTCAATTTTGAATTTTTATTCACACAAAAAAATAGAAGATTTACCATTATGCAGACTACTGCAGTATTGTAATAGTTGTATAAATAATGTCAACTCATTTGTGAATGCATATTAGACCGACCAGCTGGACGCATATCGGATGAGTGACATTATTTGTGTCCTTTGGAATATTGGCAATAATCAAATATTTCCGCTACTTTGAACTCAATTTCAAGCTACTTCCAGTCCTGAAACCAATCAAAATCATCTCAGTGTCTGTAATATATCTTCCATTCTATCAAAAAGTACCCAAAAACTGAGAATTCAACCATAAAATCCATCTGAAAATACACCAAATGCACAGTCAGTTTTTTCCCATCATGCACTGTGTGGGACAGGATTTTTTTTTATGTGGTGCACCCTCTCTGCGTAGACCTATTTTCTCATATTTGTTCCCAAATTTACCTCACTGCTTATCTGAATGAGCCGAGCTTATCACGTAGTACTACAGCGCAGACCCTGAGCTCGTGGACCTTGGAAGGGTTAATAATGTTATCTTTCGGTAGTTTTGTTAAACATAGCATCCAAATAATCTAACTTTAATCATTCACTGTCAGGTAATAGTATTCAAATAATCAAACTTTACCTATTCACTGTCAAGTAATTTTAACTTCTAGTTTTAGCCTGTCCAGAATTCTTTGCATAACTCTGGGTTTTTCCATGTGTAACACAAGCAATGCTCGGCAATCTCTGGAACACACACAATGTATTCTTGTGTTCATCATGTTAATAGACATCATAAATGAATGTTGTAATCAGTGTTTTGAGAGGTACTGTGTAGTGAGTGGACTGTTCATCATATCATCATTATCATGCAGGGACATTTGCCACCGGGGACTGTGAGAAGTATATTCATGTATGGAAGCCGAATGATGGAGGTTCATGGGAAATTGGCAACAGACCATACACAGCTCACACTGCTTCTGTCGAGGACATACAGTGGTCACCAAATGAGGCATATGTCTTTGCCTCTTGTTCTGTTGATAAGAGGTACAGTATTCTAATGTATTTATTATTAGTGTTGTTAACCCAACAATAATATCAAACCAACCATAATACAGTACAATACTATATTCTGAATATTCTTGTCTGCTGATGATCCAAGGAATTGGAGCTACCCTTCTTTTAACTGGAGTAAATCTGATCACAGTAGAACCTCTCATATTGCAAATCTTGATATCACAATTTTGAAATATCACTCTTAAAATTGAATAGCAAGATTTATCCCTTCAATTTGACTGAGCATCCACACCTTAGAATTTGGGACATTTTTTAAGTCAGGTTCTCCTCGGTATCTTGGAAGTGGCCATTGTTTTAGGGGAAAGACCTTGCTTGACTCCTTTATGAAAATACCTTCAGTCACATTTTGTAGATATATCCCATACTTTTTTTTCAAACACGTCAGCTGTTTCTCACCAAGGCAGAGTGACCCAAAAAGAAAGAAAAATCCAGAAAGAAAGAAAAAAACTTTCATCACCATTCAACACTTTCACCATCACTCATACATAATTACTGTCTTTGCAGAGGCACTCATATATGACAGTTTAGATGTCCCTCCAAACTGCCAATATCCCAAACCCCTCCTATAAAATGCAGGTATTGTACTTCCCATTTCCAGGACTCGAGTCCGGCTAACCAGTTTCTCTGAATCCCTTCACAAAATATTACTTTGCTCACACTCCAACAGCTTGTCAGGTCCCTAAAACCATTCTTCTCCATTCACTCCTATCTAAACGTTCACGCATGCTTGCTGGAAATCCAAACTTATGATGTTTTATTATAGTTCCAGGACCACTACTTTTCCATAATAAAGTGTCCCAAGTTTTTACTCATTATAACATGAGTCATCAGCTGTTCACAGACCAGAGGAAATTTCCCTGTCAAAATTGTGGCCCCAGTAAGGCCACTTCAGCCATCTCCCCACACTTCCATAGCAAGATAGCAGGAGGAACAACAAATTTAAGTTAGGATAATTTCTTTGTTACTTTTAAATCTATTTTAGTGAATGTATAGTATGAACTGTGCTGTGTTAAATCTTGCTTCCCAGTTGCTGTAATAGATGGTATGGAATGCTAACAAGTTGCAGTTCAGAAGTACTCTCAAGCAGCAGTTGAAAGCTTTTTTAGACTTAAGTTGTAATAAAGTTTCCTTTTGCTGCTTGTTTGTCTTTCAATTTCTGTATAAGTCATGCACACTAATGGATTCAGTGACCAGCTTTTCCCAGGTGGTGTAGTGATTATACACTTATTGGATAGGGCCAGATAAACTCCAATGTGAATGATGAATAAAACACATGTACAACATTTGTGTATAATTATTACTACAGGTCTCCCTCCACATTCGTGAGGGTTAGGGATCAAGAACCTTGCGAATGTTGAAAAATTGTGAATGTTTGGTGCACAAATATATTGTAGGGAAATATAATATTAGCATTTACTTAGTCTGACAATATTGCTTCCTTAACCTATTAAACCATGAACAATCATAAAACACGTGAAAACATCGTAAAATATTGTACTAGTTCCAGACCTTCGGTAAAGAAAATGAGAAAGACTATAGAATTCAAGAAAGAACTTGTAGCAAGTACCAAAGTGGAGGAGGGAGAGAGAGGGGAGAATGTATAAATAACAAAAAAAGGCACAATACCGTGACTGGAACGATACACAAATAACCCGCACATAGAAGAGAGGAGCTTATAACGTTTCGTTCTGACTTGGACTATTTACAAAGTCACACCGTGTGACTTTGTAAATGGTCCAAGTCGGACCGATACGTCGTCGTAAGCTCCTCTCTTCTATGTGCTGGTTATTTGTGTAGAGGAGAATGTGTCTTTTTCAGTGATCCTACGATATGTACGATACTAAAGCAGCACGAGTCGATAAAGGCTATAGCTCCAGCCAGCGATAAAGTGTAGCATTAGCAGCATAGCAAGTAACTTAAGCGATTAATCGATAGAAAAAGGACAGCACGAACCTAACTCCTCCAATGTTGTTGGAGTTATATAGGGCGACTGACAACACTGCCGCCTCTACCGCCTCCTTCACCACCACTATGTAAGGCTTATGCTCTCAGTGGCCCTTATATACCCAACAACAACACTCGTGGCATAATGACATATTTTATTCATTCTAGAGTATATGTCATGTTTCTATGTTATTAATATTTATTATGTCATATTAGATGAATTGTGATAGATAAATATGGTGTAGAGTTGATTTTAGTGCCATATTGAAGGACTATCTTGTCCTATCTCCAAACAGACTCTACCACCACCACAATTCCTAACATGTATAATGACATATTTTAAATATGATTGGGTGGCTGGACATTCGCGAATGTTTTTAGCCCGCGAAAGTTGAACTCGTGAATGTGGAGGGAGACCTGTAAAATGTTTCACCTCCACAGCAGGCTTCTTTCGTTAATTGAATACAGGCAGCAAGTATAACACTAGATAGTAAAAGTAATTTTGTGGTGATAGTCCTAAAGTTTGAAGGAGAGGCATGTAACTTGATCTTGTAGACTGGAGTTAGAAGGTGTAGCAGCTGTGACATCAGCTCCAGCTGCTACACCCCACTTCTGCTTCAGTTTATAAGGTCTTGCTGTATGAATCTGCTTTAGGCTTCAGGGACTGACCACAGCTATCATGGCTGAAGGACTAATCATCACAAAATTACTTAATTAATGTATTGTTTACTGTTATATTCATATGTATTTGAATGAATAAGCCTATTGTGGAGGTGAAACATTTCAGTAATAAAAAAATACCCAAGGGTTGTTCATGTATTATTTATTTACTTACCTGTTGGTATTGTGTAGCACGAATAATGTGAAATTCCATTTTTTTTTTTTTACCTACTTTAAGGGCAGTTAATGGTAAGTGATGCTTATACAAGTTTTATACAGGTTAGAGTAATTGTGACTGAGGTTCATTTGGTGGTTGAGGAATTTTAGGGCCACTATAGCAGCACTGTAGTGTCTACTACAGATTTTCCCAAGCATAAGATATTAAAGTTGTTAGGCGGTGGGGTGATGGCGGAAGCCTAGTCGGGCAACATCAGCCATCTCCACACATTTCTCAATCAACAAACAAGGACTTATACAATGTAATGTACCAAAAACACTATTATTTTAACAAAGAAATTTTGAATAAAAAACTTTTGGTTCATTCTTGAGGTGTAAAGAATGTAACCATATTTTTTTGTACAAGTTCTTGACTTCACATAGTACGATTTTACAGTGCTGATTGGAGGAACTTAACCCGCAAGATATGCGGGAATCTACTGTACCTTCCATCCTACAGGCGGTGTGTAACCCTTAACAGTTTACTACTAACTTATAACTGTATTAATAATCTGAATACAGCTTCTCTCACTTAGCAACGTACTCATTGACCGATGACTCGGACTTGCGACAGGCTCTCTGACCAGTATGTATACCTTAATAATGTATATTAGAGCTGATTTTCTTTATTCTGTTCATTACAGTATACAATACACTACTGTATAAACATTTAAAAATATACCAGAAATGTCATAAATGCTACAAGGTGACATTAAAACAATATCAAAGATGACTGACACAAATCCACTACTATCATAGTATGCTCCTCACTTAGCGACGAATTTATTTACCGACATAGTCTTAGGAATGGAACTCTGCCGTTAAGTGAGGAGAGGCTGTATTCAATATCTTATTAAGTAAGTAAGTAAGTTTATTCAGGTATACACAAATAGTTACATAGAATTATCATACATAGCAGCATATGTGTAGGGAACCTAGGATAACCCAAAAAAGTCGGACAGTGACTTATTTCCATTGGGGTCCTTTTACCTTATTATAATAATTATTCTACAATGAAGATAACATCTTATTATCATACTAAAAAGACTATCTACTACACGAGGGTCATTAAGACTATCTACAATACGAGGGTCATTACTAGGAATAAGGTAAAATTTACACGTATGTTAGCTAAAAAATAGAAAATCATTCCCCTCCCTTTCTGTAGCTACATTCATCAGACACCTTTTGGCACTCTTCTTGAACTGGTTCATGCTATGACTGGCTTTGACATGTGAGGGTAGTCTGTTCCATTCCTTTATTGCTGTACAATAAAAGGTGCTTGATGCCTGGCCAATGACTGTGGGTACTACAAAGTTGTGCTCTCTCCCCCTAGTACTATGATTGCTTTGGTTCCCAACCTTGACAAAATTGACAGCAAGATATTCTGGACACTGTTTGTGAGCAATTTTATAAACATGATTTAGCTTCAGTTGTTTTACTCTGTCTTCAACATTCAACATATCCAACTGCTGTAATTCATCCTGGCCTACATGTTCTCTTGGTCCCAGCCCCAGGATGAATCTTACGATTTTGTTCTGGGTGATTTGCAGTCTACCTTTCAGTTTTTTTGTCAAGGCAGAGTACCATGAAGAGCAAGCGTAATTTTTCAAAGAAAAATTGTGTTTTGCATTCATAAGAGGGAGATAAAAGTTTGGGTATACTGTATATCCTATGGCTGGTAATATACACTATATGTCCATAATCACATTTTTTTGTACAGAAAGTGAAATAATAATTAGCCATGATATGGTTGTAACTTGTTTAGTTATAAAAGAAACAACAGTTGTTACACAATATTATGGCAGGTATAAGAAAATAGTTATTACACAGCATTATGGCAGGTATAAGAGAACAACAGTTATTACACAACATTTTGGTAGGTATAAGATAATTATTACACAACATTATGGCAGGTATATAAGAACAGTTATTACTCAACATTATGGCAGGTATAAGAGAACAACAGTTATTACACAACATTATGGCAGGTATAAGAGAACAATTATTACACAACATTATGGTAGGTATAAGAGAATTATTACACAACATTATGGCAGGTATAAGCAAATAATTATTACACAACATTATGGCAGGTATATGAGAACAGTTATTACTCAACATTATGGCAGGTATAAGAGAACAGTTATTACTCAACATCATGGCAGATATAAGAGAACAGTTATTACTCAACGTCATGGCAGATATAAGAGAACAATTATTACTCAACATTATGGCAGATATAAGAGAACAACAGTTATTACACAACATTGTGGCAGGTATAAGAGGAACAGTTATTACACAACATTAGGTTTACATTGACAGGTGATGGACATATATAGATGATGCACAATAATTTAATAAGCTTTAACCTTGGATCACTTAATAATTTGAAAAACAATGATATGTGTTTTGTCATACTGTACAATGTGGCAGTTATACTACATGAGTGGGAACTGTCATGTGTGGAGTAATTGTACCATGCGAGTGGTAACTGTCAGGTGAGGAGTAATTGCATCATGTGAGGGGTAACTGTATCATGTGAGGAGTAATTGCATCATGTGAGGGGTAACTGTGTCATGTGAGGAGTAATTGCATCATGTGCCTTACCTTTACTTTTGTGAGGGGTAATTGTTCATTGTGAGAGATAATTGCATCATGTGAGAGGAAATTGTACCTTCACCTGAAAGTGCCCATAGTTAAAAAATATGTCCCCTGGTTTTTGGCCTTAATCTGTTCTAAAGGTCAGCCAAAATTCAAAATGGACGAAAACCGAAGTAATATTTCCCATAAGAAATAATGTAAATCCAATTAACCCATTCCATACAGCCATAAATATTAGCAAAAAATACATTTTATAGAGAATACAATGAGAACTAAATATAAAACACTAATTTTAACCCTTAAACTGTCCAAACGTAGATCTACGTTTTTTTAACATTTGAAAGTATGTAAAAAATGTAGATCTTTTTTTTTTTTACATTTGAAAACGTGTAAAAAACTTTTATCTACTTTTTTTTTGTTATATTTGAAAATATGTAAAAAAAACATAGATCTACTTTTGGAGCACTACGGATTTGAACGTCGATTTGTTTGGACAGTTTAAGGATTAATGGATAAATGGACGTTTAAATCAGTTTTACCTTTATTGAAGACTCTTGTTGGCATATTCTTTACAAGATCCGCATGCAACTGCCTAGCCTTTTCGCAAATTATCGCCTCCACACCACTATCTCCAGCTGATTGTGTTTTTTTTGATCCACACCGACAACAACAACAACAACAACTTACCATCTTTGATTTTTGCCATCACTACCACCCTCGACCAACCTCTACCACCATCACTGCCACCCTCTGCCACCATCACTACCACCCTCTACCTTTGTAGAGGGTGGTAGTGATATTTCTCCACAAAACTTTGCAACTCATTCTACAAGTTCTTTCTTGAATTTTATCGTGTTCCTCAGCTTCTTTACCAAAGGGCTGGCATTTTGAACTTTCTTTGGCTCCATGGTGGCTTATTTCACAGTCGCAATCAATAAACAAGCACAAAAAACAATGGACGAATGCGTGGAGTATTGCTAACTTAACGAGACACAGGCAGACTGAGTGTGGTACATGTGAGAAGCGGCGTCCCTGGCGGGTGGACGCATCTGATACCAATGATTTTCAAGCAGATGTATGAAGCCCAGGGGGAAATTTTGCCGAAAAGTGCTCGAAATTTGAATTGTACGATTTCCGCACAGGCCAAAAACTGGGTGTCCACTGTATTTGCTAGGCAAGTACAGTGGACCCCCGCATAATGATATGTATTATTTCAATCCAGAAGTTTGTTTGGGTGCCGTTATAGACCGAATTTGTTCCTATAAGAGATATTGTGAATTAGATTAGTCCATTTCAGACCCCCAAAAATACACCTACAAAAGCACTTACAAAAATACACTTACATAACTGGTCGAGTTGGGAGCTGATCGTTATGCGGGGGTCCACTGTAGTAGTACATATTTTGGAAACTACTCAGATAATGGGCACTTAGGTGGGGGCACAGTTATCCCTCATATGGTACAATTGCCCCATTATACAGTAGTACCCAGGAATTTCTTAATATAATTCTTGATGTGTGTGGTGGTGTTTACAGTATAAGAGTGTGGGATGCTCGAACCAGTCCCAACAAGGCATGTATGTTGACAGTACCCAACGCACATGACTCAGATGTTAATGTCATCCACTGGAACCGCAACGATCCTTTCATAGTGTCTGGTGGTGATGATACCATGGTTAAGGTCTGGGATCTGCGACAGTTTGAGGTGAGCTAGAGTATAATCTCTGTTGCAAGGTGTTAAAATGGTCTTCGTAATATTGAGTTGAGGCTCTTGGCTGGTTGGTTTTCTCATTTAATTTGCATAAAAGTACAGTAAACCTTCCACAGAACATAGATTAATAGGAGAGAATTGTCCAAGTATTACTAATTATTAAAAGAAGAAAAAACTTATTAGCTTTCTTCTTTTTCGGGTCACCCTGCCTTGGTGAGAGATGGCCAGTATGTTAAAAAAAAATTGTCTGAGTGTCCATTATATCGGAATAAGGTTAAAAAAATACTAAAGTACTCTAATGTAAACCTTATATATTAACATACATACAGTTTACAAATACGCCATAATGAACATTCAAAATAAGTAAGTCAAACGTGCAATTATGTCACAGAGTGAGCCTATGTTTTCAGCATTCTCTAGCCTTAACCCTTAAACTGTCCAAACATAGATCTACGTTGTTTTACATATTTTCAAATATAAAAAAAAAGTAGATCAAAGTTTTTTTACACTCTTTCAAATGTAAAAAAAAAAAAAAAAAGATTACGTTGTTTACATACTTTCAAATGTTGAAAAAACATAGATCTACATTTGGACAGTTTAAGGGTTAAATAACTTATAAATATTCAAATATGAAATTCAATATTTAATTACAAAATAGTATAAATAATGAAATGATGATGTAGTATAAAATATAAAGTGAATTTTTACAATGTACAGTGCCCAGCAAGTAATGTTAATGTAACAATACCATTAAGTTCACAAATAACCCACACTTGTACTAATTATACTTGGTCATTGTTGCACGCCCTCCTGGTGGAACCTGTGGTGTAAAGACTAACTGAAACATTCATTGACTTTTTTTCATAAGTTTGTTTAATTAGGCACTCGGGGAAAAGTAGCCATTACTTGTTTTCTCTTGGCAAACATGTTTGTGGGTACTATATATATTGAAGTAAAAAGAAAAATAATAGAAAAACGTAAAAGAATGGAAAATAAAAAATGACCTTTTAATTAGTTAATCATTTTTTTAATATGTAACTGAGCACAAAGTTGTCCTATGTTTTCTTCATCTCTGTAGTATTTTTTCTTGTTTTGTTTAGAATGGGAGTGCAGTGGCAGTGTTGAAGTATCATGATGCACCAGTCAACACAGTAGAGTGGCATCCAAGTGATTCTTCTGTACTGGCTACTGGTTGTGAAGGTAGTCAGATCCTTCAATGGGATTTGGGTGTAGAGCGAGATCCAGTTGCTAGTGCTGATGATAACATGGTAAGTGTGTTTTTTCTGCTGTTGCACAACTGAGGTCTGAAGTAATTACATCTTACTTCACTGATACTTTGAGTTGAAATCAGTATAAAAGATAAATTTTCATTGTCACATTAAGAAAATTTTAGTTTATGGCATTAATATTTGCTTTATCAAATGACTGAAATTAATAAGGATTTTGACCATTGATGTTTAACCTCAATGTATCATTTCTTTTACATTTAATGTTATTTCAATCTAGGTTACTTCAATGTACTATATGAAAATATTAAATTATGTATCTATATGATAATCACGAATATCAGTTTTGCAGATGAAATAAGTGTAAATTATACTGAACTAGAGTGGTAATATATTATGAATTTTGTATTGAAATTTGTATGCATGTAGATACGTGGCCCATTAGGCTGCTGATGCCAACAGAGTGTGTGTGTGTGTGTATAGGAGGGAGGGGGGAAGAAGAAATTAAGTGTAGGAGAGGCTGTGATGCCACTATTGAATTGGTACAGGCAAGGAGAAATGAAAGAATTAATTTATCAGACACAGTGCCTGCACTGGGTGGGGATGTTGGCATTTTATAGTACCTTGATGAAAAATTTGTGAACATAAGTTGAAATTGTGTTTTGAAAGTAACAAAAAATGTAGGAGTTCTTAAATAATGAAGGGATTCAATAATGAATAGTTAACTGAGTTTGAGATGTGACATGATAATAGTGAAGGTCTTCCAGATATCCTTTAATGTAATATAGGATTGTAGTAGGAGGATTTCTAATATGTAGACTTTTTTTTTTTTTTTAAATATTAACACATCGGCTTTTTCCCACTGAGGCAGGGTGACCTGAAAAAGAAGAAACACTTTCATCATTCACTCCATCACAAATGGCAAATATTTTATTGCAATAACAAGTTAGAAAGAGAAGAAGAAAAACTTTATAAAACTGGGATGTAAAGTAAAAGGACACAAGTGCAACTAATGTGATGGTAATGGCTTGATAAAGCTCCTGGAGAGCGAAACGTTGCCACAATAAATGTCACATTAGTTGCACTTGTGTCCTTTTACTTTACATATTGTCAGTAATTCCACCAACTTTATTACAAAACTGGGATGCTTGAATGTGCGTGGATGTAGTGCGGATGACAAGAAACAGATGATTGCTGATGTTATGAATGAAAAAAGAAGTTGGATGTCCTGGCCCTAAGTGAAACAAAGCTGAAGGGGGTAGGGGAGTTTCGGTGGGGGGAAATAAATGGGATTATCTGGAGTATCTGAGAGAGTTAGAGCAAAGGAAGGGGTAGCAGTAATGTTGAATGATCAGTTATGGAAGGAGAAACGAGAATATGAATGTGTAAATTCAAAAATTATGTGGATTAAAGAAAAGGTTGGATGCGAGAAGTGGGTCATAATAAGCGTGTATGCACCTGGAGAAGAGAGGAATGCAGAGGAGAGAGAGAGATTTTGGGAGATGTTAAGTGAATGTATAGGAGCCTTTGAACCAAGTGAGAGAGTAATTGTGGTAGGGAACCTGAATGCTAAAGTAGGAGTAACTTTTAGAGAGGGTGTGGTAGGTAAGTTTGGGGTGCCAGGTGTAAATGATAATGGGAGCCCTTTGATTGAACTTTGTATAGAAAGGGGTTTAGTTATAGGTAATACATATTTTAAGAAAAAGACGATAAATAAGTATACAAGATATGATGTAGAGCGAAATGACAGTAGTTTGTTGGATTATGTATTGGTAGATAAAAGACTGTTAAGTAGACTTCAGGATGTACATGTTTATAGAGGGGCCACAGATATATCAGATCACTTTCTAGTTGTAGCTACACTGAGAGTAAAAGGTAGATGGGATACAAGGAGAATAGAAGCATCAGGGAAGAGAGGGGTGAAGGTTTATAAACTAAAAGAGGAGGCAGTTAGGGTAAGATATAAACAGCTATTGGAGGATAGATGGGCTAATGAGAGCATAGGCAATGGGGTCGAAGAGGTATGGGGTAGGTTTAAAAATGTAGTGTTAGAGTGTTCAGCAGAAGTTTGTGGTTACAGGAAAGTGGGTGCGGGAGGGAAGAGGAGCGATTGGTGGAATGATGATGTGAAGAGAGTAGTAAGGGAGAAAAAGTTAGCATATGAGAAGTTTTTACAAAGTAGAAGTGATGCAAAGAGGGAAGAGTATATGGAGAAAAAGAGAGGTTAAGAGAGTGGTGAAGCAATGTAAAAAGAGAGCAAATGAGAGAGTGGGGTGAGATGTTATCAACAAATTTTGTTGAAAATAAGAAGAAAAGTTTTGGAGTGAGATTAACAAGTTAAGGAAGCCTAGAGAACAAATGGATTTGTCAGTTAAAAATAGGAGTTGAGAGTTAGAGGTATTGGGAAGATGGAGGGAATATTAAATGTTGAAGATAGGGAAGCTGTGATTTCGTGTATAGGGCAAGGAGGAATAACATCTTGTAGGAGTGAGGAAGAGCCAGTTGTGAGTGTGGGGGGAAGTTCGTGAGGCAGTAGGTAAAATGAAAGGGGGTAAGGCAGCCGGGATTGATGGGATAAAGATAGAAATGTTAAAAGCAGGTGGGGATATAGTTTTGGAGTGGTTGGTGCAATTATTTAATAAATATATGGAAGAGGGTAAGGTACCTAGGGATTGGCAGAGAGCATGCATAGTTCCTTTGTATAAAGGCAAAGGGGACAAAAGAGAGTGCAAAAATTATAGGGGGATAAGTCTGTTGAGTATACCTGGTAAAGTGTATGGTAGAGTTATTATTGAAAGAATTAAGAGTAAGACGGAGAGTAGGATAGCAGATGAACAAGGAGGCTTTAGGAAAGGTAGGGGGTGTGTGGACCAGGTATTTACAGTAAAACATATAAGTGAACAGTATTTAGATAAGGCTAAAGAGGTCTTTGTGGCATTTATGGATTTGGAAAAGGCATATGACAGGGTGGAAATGTGGCAGATGTTGCAGGTGTATGGTATAGGAGGTAGGTTACTGAAAGCAGTGAAGAGTTTTTACAAGGATAGTGAGGCTCAAGTTAGAGTATGTAGGAAAGAGGGAAATTATTTCCCAGTAAAAGTAGGCCTTAGACAAGGATGTGTGATGTCACCATGGTTGTTTAATATATTTATAGATGGGGTTGTAAGAGAAGTAAATGCGAGGGTCTTGACAAGAGGCGTGGAGTTAAAAGATAAAGAATCACACATAAAGTGGGAGTTGTCACAGTTGCTCTTTGCTGATGACACTGTGCTCTTGGGAGATTCTGAAGAGAAGTTACAGAGATTGGTGGATGAATTAGATAGGGTGTGCAAAAGAAGAAAATTAAAAGTGAATACAGGAAAGAGTAAGGTTATGAGGATAACAAAAAGATTAGGTGATGAAAGATTGGATATCAGATTGGAGGGAGAGAGTATGGAGGAGGTGAATGTATTCAGATATTTGGGAGTGGACGTGTCAGCGGATGGGTCTATGAAGGATGAGGTGAATCATAGAATTGATGAGGGGAAAAGGGTGAGTGGTGCACTTAGGAGTCTGTGGAGACAAAGAACTTTGTCCTTGGAGGCAAAGAGGGGAATGTATCAGAGTATAGTTTTACCAACACTCTTATATGGGTGTGAAACATGGGTGATGAATGTTGCAGCGAGGAGAAGGCTGGAGGCAGTGGAGATGTCATGTCTGAGGGCAATGTATGGTGTGAATATAATGCAGAGAATTCGTAGTTTGGAAGTTAGGAGGAGGTGCGGGATTACCAAAACTGTTGTCCAGAGGGCTGAGGAAGGGTTGTTGAGGTGGTTCGGACATGTAGAGAGAATGGAACGAAACAGAATGACTTCAAGAGTGTATCAGTCTGTAGTGGAAGGAAGGTGGGGTAGGGGTCGGCCTAGGAAAGGTTGGAGGGAGGGGGTAAAGGAGGTTTTGTGTGCGAGGGGCTTGGACTTCCAGCAGGCATACGTGAGCGTGTTTGATAGGAGTGAATGGAGACGAATAGTTTTTAATACTTGACGTGCTGTTGGAGTGTGAGCAAAGTAACATTTATGAAGGGGTTCAGGGAAACCGGCAGGCTGGACTTGAGTCCTGGAGATGGGAAGTACAGTGCCTGCACTCTGAAGGAGGGGTGTTAATGTTGCAGTTTAAAAACTGAAGTGTAAAGCACCCTTCTGGCAAGACAGTGATGGAGTGAATGATGGTGAAAGTTTTTCTTTTTCGGGCCACCCTGCCTTGGTGGGAATCGGCCAGTGTGATAATAATAAAAATAATAAAAAACAAGTTAGAAAATGAGTGAAATGGGGCACCAAGAGAGAAGTGATTATAAGTAGTGATTACTAAAGAAAATTATGGCAAAAATACACTTAGATGGAATGAAGATGGTAAAAAAAGGTGTATTGCAGCAGAGTATTGTGTTGAGTGTTAACGAGGTGGGGATTATATTCCTTTTTCAAAAGGCAAAAAATGCCATTTAGAATGTAAAATTATTTTATTAGCACCGGCTGTTTCCCACCAAGGTAGGGTGGCCCACAGAAGAAAAACCTTCACCATCATTCACTCCATAACTGCTTTGCCAGAGGCGCACTTACACTACAGTTACAAAACTGCAATATTAACAGCCTCACCAAAGTACGGTAACCCAAAGAAAGAAATACATCCATCATTCTTTATTGAGTAGCTGTCTTACAAGAGATAGGCAGACATGACAGGTCAAATGACCATACTGCAACATCTCACTCATCCTTAAAAGTGCAGTTACTGTACTTCCCACCCACCTCCAAAACTCAAGTCTGATTTTTACTGTGTACATATTTTATTTCCAAGTATCAAAGATGGGCGAGACCGAATACAGTAGAGTAAGCACTTTGTATTGTTTATATGTAAAGGCTACTGCATCACACCACTCAAGGGAGGTGCATTCATGCTGGTGATGGGTTTTTGATTCAAGGAATTGGACCCATTAACCGTTTCCTTGGACGGTGCCCCATGGCCTGGTGGCAAAAGCTCTCGCTTCACATGGCGAGGGTCTGGGTTTGATTCCCAGCACAGGGGTGGAAACATTGGACGTGTTTCCTTACACCGTTTGTCCACATTCACCTATCTGTCATAATGGGTACCTGGGTGTGAGTTGACTGGTGTGGGACAAAACTGACCTAATTTGCCTAAAATGCTCTGCATAACAAGGGGGGGCTTTCTATATAGTAGTACATTCATCATTGATGTCAGCTAGGCCTGTATACCTTGTACATGCACCTGTAGAAATATATTGTTATTATTATGACCAGATTGCCTCCCATTTCTCTAGGCCCTGTATGATCCTACAGATTCAGTATTTTTTTCCCACTCCTCACTCATGAATGTAATAATAATAATACTGCAGCCACCTTTACATGTTCATGTCTTTCTTAGTTTATGGCATTGATGTGTTAGTAATGTTTAAAGCATTGAACACAGTATGATGTTATGACACGCTGTGTGTGTTTCAACAGGATGTGCCACAGGAGCTGTTGTTTGTACACAAAGGTCAGCAGGAGATGAAGGAGCTACACTGGCATCCACAGGTTCCAGGCCTCATCATTTCTACAGCAAATTCTGGGTTCAACATATTTAAGACAGTTAGTTGTTAACTGGTGGGTACTTGTAGTAAATCTTGCAACAGATGTGGGTTATACTAATGGTTTTACCAATTAAAAAGAAAAAAATAATGTGTAATTATCAAATTTGATTGGATAGTCATTTGCTATTATCCTAAATTACACACTGATCAACAATTTTTGAAAAGTTGTATGCTTCTTAAATGAGATTAGTTAATTGTTATGTATTTTCATATCCTGAATCCAAATATTACCTTGAAAAATGCTTGTTGGCTGTAGGTTTAAAGATATGAGACATGTAATATTTGATTATAATGTACAATATGTATCAGTATGTTTTAAACTAATCTATACCTACTCCCTGCCTTTTTGCTCGACACATAGTCGGCTGAAGAATCGTCTCTTGCCAATGTCCAGCAATAATCTGCAAGCATTCTTGTGCCCCATTTGCTCTAGTACCATTTTTCCATGGTTGAAATATCTTGGTGAAATCTTTCACCATGTTCATCATTAACTGCCCCACAGTTTGCTGGAAAAAAGTCTAAATGCGAGTCCAAAAGACGTATTACATCCAGTGTTCTTGTAAGCCTTGAGGTTTTCCACCAATTCTTCATAGTTGCCTTCCCTTCTGTTTCTGAGAAATCCCTTCACCACTAACTTGAATGTTTCCCAAGCAGCTTTCTCCTCTCCATGAAGGTCTGATTCAAAGTCCCCATCTTTAAGAAGCTCTCGAATCTGAGGACCATTGAAGTCTCCCTCTCTTATCTTAGTGTTGCTAAGTGAGAAGAATTTTGATGTTAAATACTTGAATCCCTGACTGGATTTGTCCATATCTTTTACAAAGTTTTTCATTAGCCCCAGTTTTATGCATAGTGGTGGTAGCAAAATTTTGTTTGGTTCAATGAGAGATGGATGTTGAACCTTTTTCATCCCAGGTAGCCAGTCTCTCCTGATGTAGCAGGAACCTCTTGCACGGCTGTACCATTAACATAGAAGGCAGCAGTAGTTGGTGTATCTGCCCTGCATGCCTATCACAAGAGCAACAACCTTTAAGTTGCCACAAAGCTGCCATTTATGTTCATCATATTTCATGCATGGCAACATATGCTGTATATTCTCATAAGTTTCTTTCCTATGTGGTGCATAGCCCACAGGAACTGATGGTTTACTATTGCCGTTATGCGGCAAGACTCATTTTTGACGAATCTACGAACATCCTCCAGTGACTGGGTTTGTAGTCGATGCCAAGTGCTTCCATCAGACCATTAATATTGTTGCAGGCCACTAAATCACTTTCCATTACAAAGAAATCGTTGAACTGCTGCTGAGGGTTATGAAATTTTAAAATCTTCACATCAGCTGCTATGAAATTTCACTGTTGAAGATGAGAGCCTAGCAGCTCTGCCTTATTTTTGGGTAGTTGCAGATCCTTGACAAGGTCATGGGGTTCCCCTTTTGTTATGAGATGTGGCCTAGAGGAGTGTGCTTCATCAAAGTTTCAGTTACTCTGTAATCCAGCACTGTCGTCCTTTTCTTCCTCACCACTTTCATCTGACTCAAAGGATACTGAAATTGGTGCATCAGGAACAGGTAGACCTTCTCCATGTGGAACTGGGCAAATAGCTGATGGAATGTTTGGATATTTAATGGACCTTTTTTTTTTTTTTTTTTTTTTTTAAACCCTTTTGTACTGGAGGTACCATGTAGAAATAACAATTGTTAGTATGGTCTGTTGGCTCCTGCCATGTCATTGGCACACCAAAAGGCATTTCTTTCCTCTTCCTGTTCAATCATTGGCGAAGGTTAGTAGCACAATCGTTGCAGCATGTGTGTAAAGCCCAGTTCTTATCCTGGTCACCAATCTTGCATCCAAAATATAAGCGATATGCCTTTCTAACCATTCTGTGAAGCAGCAAAGGTCACCTAACCACAAATGTGACAGAAGTTGTCTGCCCTATTCACACAAGCACAAGGCATCTGAAAGAAGAAAACAAACTATTAAAAGATAAATAGATTTATTCATTTATCATTATAATAGAGCATTTAAGTTTAAAAAGTGTTTGGTTAAGAAAATCACCTATCTTTCACCTCAAAATATAACCTTGCACAGCACAACTACCTTCTATGACTGCTGGAACAATAATGAAGGTCAGCGAGTGTGGTAAGAAACACACTGCCACAATCCTGTTGGAACCTGTTGTGACATGTAAGTATATATTGTGTACGAATGGTATATAATACCGACAAGATGAGAGTAAGACACATGTGCAACATCTGGGTATCTTTATTGTAGACGTTTCGCCATCCAGTGGCTTTATCAATACAAATTCTAGGACATAACTTGAAGACAGTAGAATTATGTACAGAAGATGAGGTAATCAGTCCCTCAACCTAGGAGTAGGTGCGAACAGCACCATAGTCGTGGAGATTCTGAAGCAGAAGAAAGAATCCTGGCGCTTATATAGTAACGTCAGGTGAAGCAGACGAGGGCAAATTCACTGGTAGGCGGGATTCCCCAGTGGAAGTAGGTCCTTCCCAAAGAGATGGGTTAGTTGTAGTAGTAGTTGTCGTAGTCGTGAAGGTTATGTAATCTTAATTCTGAGGACATGTACATAACCTTCACGACTACGACAACTACTACTACAACTAACCCATCTCTTTGGGAAGGACCTACTTCCACTGGGGAATCCCGCCTACCAGTGAATTTGCCCTCGTCTGCTTCACCTGACGTTACTATATAAGCGCCAGGATTCTTTCTTCTGCTTCAGAATCTCCACGACTATGGTGCTGTTCGCACCTACTCCTAGGTTGAGGGACTGATTACCTCATCTTCTGTACATAGTTCTACTGTCTTCAAGTTATGTCCTAGAATTTGTATTGATAAAGCCACTGGATGGCGAAACGTCTACAATAAAGATACCCAGATGTTGCACGTGTCTTACTCTCATCTTGTCGGTATTATATACCATTCGTACACAACTTGTCAGACACTGCAACATCATGGAATCTTAATTCTGAGGACATGTACATAACCTTCACGATTACGACAACTACTACTACAACTAACCCATCTCTTTGGGAAGGACCTACTTCCACTGGGGAATCCCACCTACCAGTGAATTTGCCCTCGTCTGCTTCACCTGACGTTACTATATAAGCGCCAGGATTCTTTCTTCTGCTTCAGAATCTCCACGACTATGGTGCTGTTCGCACCTACTCCTAGGTTGAGGGACTGATTACCTCATCTTCTGTACATAGTTCTACTGTCTTCATGTCCTAGAATTTGTATTGATAAAGCCACTGGATGGCGAAACGTCTACAATAAAGATACCCAGATGTTGCACATGTGTCTTAAGTATATATTGAAAAGTAGAGCTAACAAACAATTTTAACCATGATATTCATTATCAGTGACCTGAAATTAGTTAGAAATTGCTACTCTAGTCTTGGAAGCATTTTGGTTGTTGACCGGTGTTATCAGAACTAAGCACTAAACCCAGAAGGGTCATACAGTGCTTCAGGACAGGATGTACTAAAGATATAATATGCAAAGATCAGAGACCAGCAAGAGTTAGTAATATACAATAGGAAGAGGCAGTAAGGGTTGTGGGGAGTGCTAAAGGAAAAATAGAATTGAAGTTGGTGTAATAAAGCAGTCGGTGACAAAAAGTCAATGGGAGTCTGCGTCAAAGGTGGGCTGTTGGCAAGGATGCCAGATAAAGTAAATGCCTTAGAGAGGTGATGACGCTGGCGATAAATTCTGCATGTCCGCTGATAGACAGGAGAGTCTTCGTAGATGGTGAACTGACAATGGAACTTGACAATTCTCACAGAGCAACACTGGGAGCTTCTCCACGAGTTGCCCATGAGCAAGACGTTTGTGTCCAATATAAAGGAAGGAAGGAATGTAGTCTCCCAAACATGACAGTGATGGCAAAACCAGAAATCCAAACAATGTTACAGAATACAATTTATTATGGATCAACTCAGACCACTGTTGTTGCCAACAGTTGTGAAGTTGTCTAGAGATTACAGCAAAATAGTCTGAGAATGGAATATCCCTATATGAAAAGAGTTCATGAGCAGTTCCCCACAAGGAAGGTTCCTTGATGCTGGTAAGGGGCTCTTGATCTAGGGAATTGGATCTGTGCTCCAGTTCCCTGAATTAAACCTGAATACCTTCCACATCCCCCCACAGGTGCTGTATAATCCTACGGGTTTAGCACTTTCCCCTTGATTATAATAATAATCATGAACAGTTGACTGGGCAGCAGAATCCACCTGCTTGTTGCCCTGAATATCCACATGTCTAGGAACCCAGCATAAAACAATGTTTTTACTAGAAGTACAGCACAACCAAAGCTGTATATGAAGACCCCCTCAAGGAAGGTTCCTTGATGTTGGTGAGGGGCTCTTGATTTAGGGAATTGGATCTGTGCTCCAGTTCCCCGAATTAAGCCTGAATGCCTTCCACATCCCCCCCCCCAGGCGCTGTATAATCCTCCGGGTTTAGCGCTTCCCCCTTGATTATAATAATAATAATAATGTATATGAAGATAAGGGGATGAGGAGAATCAGATTTTTGGATAGCCTGTAAACCCCTAGTCTAAAACTACATACTACAGATGTTGAGGTAGGCAGGGATGCAATATGTATAACAGCTAGCCGAGTCCAAACCCGACACCGTCGAAGGATTTAAAACCGTTAGTGTAAAATGCAGTGGCATGAATATGAGATTAAGTGGTTAAGAAAAAGGAATCTAAAGTAGGTAACTGAGCTTTCGTGTACGGAGGTGAAGAACAGACGCAAATTGTTGGAACTTCTCAAGAGGGAAGAGAAAGGTTAGATGCTGGATGGACATAAAAATGGGGTAAATGAAGAGAAGCAAAGAGAGAATAAATACGAAGTGGAAAGGAATCGAGTAAACAGGCAGCGATCAAATAAAGGACTTCAACTAACGCGCATTACCATTTTGTATGTAGAAGGCTCCTTCAGCATTTTGACGACCGAATGCTAAATGGCATTAATGTGATAAGATTTTTTTTTTTTTTTTGACGGGATGCATATCAGATGTTAAGAATACAGGACATGAGAACACCATGTTTGATTGTACTGTGCTATGTTACCACGTATTCTTTCATCATAAGACATGGCTAATTATTTGGATTTTAACATACTCCCACCGTCATGGAATATTGTACAGGTCTCCCTCCACATT